TGTGGTTGGAAGAATTAGACGCAATTAAGTTTAATAGCAGGTAGGCCGACGAATCTGTTAACCGGCTACGACTTAAAAAGAGCGATGACAGTGACAGCTCCTAGTGTATTTTTCTATATAAGGGAGACTGCTATAGTCAAAATCACAAAAGATGACTATTACGTCATATCATAAATTGTACTGAAGTAATCAATGGACGTAGATCGACGAAAAAAACACGATGTCAGGAACATAATGACAACAACACACATACACACACACACACACACTGATTATTTTTATTTTCATTTTATTTCATGGTTTTGAGTGATACCTTAATAATAATTTCAGTGGGGAGTTTTTGTTTTGAAAAAAAAAATGAGTAGAATACCTTAAGACAGGGTCACCAAAGACCAAAATATTATTCGAAAACAACCTAACCTGCTTTAACATAACCCAACTTATCATCTTTCCAATATGATCGATCATGCAACATGAAAACATCGTCTATCTTTGTTGGATACATGCAAATTAGCAATACAGTTTGTTTAGACAATAAAATTCTGTTTGTCTCTGTCTAACATATCAGAAACTTCATCAAAAATATTCACAAATCGCTGTCGTTAGTCTTTACTACAGACTAAAGTGATAACGTAATCGTCATCTTTCGTGATTTCGACTATACATGCGCAGCCCCACATTGATCGAATACATTGTTGTGAGAGGACATTTTTAGGTTAATCGTCACTTGTTGCAATCTACAAACAGTTCATTACTAAGTACTGTACAAGCATTTCCTGTTTAGTTTTCCACTGCATTATATACTTTTTGTTGGTCGTTTCTCATATTTCATAGTTAATCGCGTTATGTTTTTGGTCTCTCGTTTTTCGTTTTCGTTTTCCATTTTCTGTTTTGATTTTTCATACTGTTTTAATTTCGTTATTTTTAGCATTACGTGTAAAGTTTTAATTTTGAGTTGTGCAGCTTGCATTTTATACTATAGCAGCGAGCATGGCGCAGCGCATGCCATGTTAAGTGAAAGCCGACGTCGAGTCCAGAAACAAATATAACGAAGTGGTTCGCAATGCCAAAAACCAGCACGATATAAAAGTTAGGCACAGGGTGATGTTGCAGCGCAATGGCAGTCGGTCTTTCTGGACGCTAGCCAAGCAGATTGAAAAGAACTTCTCACACAGTAGCCTTCCACCACTTGCGTGTCAGGATGGAACGATTGTATCCGACTCAAAGGCCAAGGCGGAAGTACTTGCCAAGATCTTTGCTGCCAACTCCACCATGGACGCCCCCCCGACGCCCAAGTGCCGTCAATCCAAAGGGTTCCCTACACTATGCAGGAGGTAACATTCAGGCACAAGACCGTAAGACGGGTGCTCTTGTGGCTCGCCATTAACAAAGCTTCTGATCCGGACTTGATGCCTGCCATTGAACTGAAGAGGTGTGCAGCGGAGCTTGCCCCAGTTCCTTCGCGTCTCTTCCAGATATCTTATGAATCCGACACCTTCCCAGAAAACTGGAAATTTGCTCATGTCCAACCCATCCCAAAAAAAGGATCTAAGTCCGACCCCTACAACTAGAGGTCTATAGCTCTGCTTTCTGTTATAAGTAAGGTGATGGAGAGGTGGATAAATCGCGAGCTTCTGGACTACCTCGAAAGTCACAGCTTGATTAGCGACAGGCAGTATGGTTTTCGGCACCAACGATCCACAGGGGATCTCCTAGCCTACGTCAGGCAATTGTGGAGTAAACTCATCCAGTCTTATGGTGTGGCTCATGTCGTTACTCTTGACATCATGAAGGAGTTCGATCAGCTGTGGCACGCTGCCCTCTTAAGCAAACTTCCATCCTATAGCCTTCCAGAAAAGCTTTGCAGATGGGTGGCTGACTTTATCTCTGGCCGCAAGATATCCGTCGTAATTGACTGGTTCTCCTCTTCATCCCACAAGGTCAACGCGGGTGTTCCCTAGGGATCGGTCTTGGCACCAACACTGTTTCTCTTACATATCAACGACCTCCTTTCCTGCACGAACAACCCAATCCGCAGCTTCGCTGATGACAGTACTCTACATGCAGGAATTCAGAGTGACAAGCGGATCTCTGCCGCTGTGCTGGAAAGGAGAAGACTTGCGACGACTTCCTCTCTGACAAGAGACCTGGAGGCTATCACTGCTTGGGGACGCAACAATCTTGCACAGTTCAACGCTTCCAAATCACAATACTGTACTTTGACGAACAAAAAGCGTCCTAGCGCTCATCCGGTTTCGATGGATGGCCGAGTTCTGCCAAAGAGCCATTCCTTTCGGCTAGTCGGAGTCCATATCATCGAGGACCTGATCTGGCACGAACACATCTCGCCAATAGCAGCAGCTGCTGGGAAAAAGCTAGGCTATTTGTTTAGGGCTAAGAAGTACTTTTCTCCGCATGACCTTCTCACTCTATACAAGGCCCAGATAAGGCCTAGCCTCGAGTATTGCTCACACGTTTGGGGTGCTGCCGCCCCGACTACATTACCCATGCTGGATGCTGTCCAGAGGAGGGCGGTCCGACTGATCGATGACTGTTCTCTAACAGACAGTCTCGAGACCCTTTCGCACCAGCGAGCCGTCGGCGATCTAGCTCTTTTCTACGGCTACACCAACGGGATTTGCTCCTCAGAGCTCTCTTCCATGATGCCGACACGCGATGTGCCTGCCAGGCAGTCCCGCCTGACCTTGGCGCCCCATCCTAACCGTGTCGAACTTCGTACATCCAGAACTGGCCGATACGACCGCTCCTTTGTCCCGAGGGTGTCGAGATTGTGGAATAATCTACAAGAGGAAGCTTTTCCCGGTTCTACTAACCTTAGGCAGTTCAAAAATCGTATTAACAAAATTTCTTTGGGATCATCATAGCAACCGCGGTGTTCCGGCATTTAGGCTTCTGCCTGCGCGGCTGCTTCGATATAAAAAAAAATTACTTGACGCAGTCTAACCGGGTATTGAACAACATAAAATGGGCGCAAGGCCTATTTATACTATTGGTGTGCTTACAAAGCACTTCTAGAAACAAAGCATAAGCAACGAGTTAGCGAGAAGTCGTTACCTGTTGCTGAGCTAGAGCCTGTTGTATGGAATAGTAAGTCCATTGTTATGAGTGCATATAACATGTACGATATGTAATCACCTGAGTATACATTTCTACCGGCTTAGTATTGAGGCACGAGTTTAAATATATTTGGTGAGTAACATTTACGTCCCTCAAGCATCTCGGATCTGTTCACAGCATCTCGATGAAAATGGATTTCGTTTGAGGAACTTCTATATGGAAGTTAGTAGATTTTTTACACGATTAAGAAAATCGGCTTTAAAAAACCGTGCGCACTCTCTTGATCCTGATTATTTGACTGATGAAAATTCTACTTATCACACTTCGATATCAAAAGCTCGATTCAGTAATTTACATGAGTCTTTCATTCCTGTCGTTGGAGGTAATAACTTGCATGGTTACCTCAAAATCTCGCCCTATATCTTGGGATACATTGAGTTTTGGGGCCTCTACCCATTAGGACGGACATTTGTTCAGGACGCCGGGTCACATCACGTATAAAGACTTCGGCGAAATTAACAGAAACCGCTCTTTAACTTGAAGCAGATATTCTACTAGAACTGTAATCTCATTATGACTTGGACGGCCTACATCTTAGGGCCAGTTGAGTTTTGGGGCATATGCCCATGAATGCATTTATTCCGGACGTCGAGACACATAACATATGAAAAACCCAGAGAAGTTAACCGATACCGCTCTTTCACTTAAGACTTAAGGAATACATTTGAGTATAACCAATACATTATATTGACTTGGAAACCCTATATCTTGAGACCTGTTGAGTTTTGGGGTCTTTTATATTGAGGTATTTATCTTAGGATGCCGAGTCACATAACATATAAAAAATTCAGCGGAATTAACCGGAACCATTATTTCATTTAAAGCATATATTCCCATTATACCTACCCAATAGATTATACCAACTTGGACGCCCTATATCATGGAATTCGTTGAGTTTTCGGGCCTGTGTCCACTAAGGCATTTATTTAGGATGCCTGAGGCACATAACATATAAAAAACTTAGCAAAATTAACAGCACAGTTCAAGCAAAGTGTCCCACTATTTCCAATAGCAGGTATTCAACAATTACTTCTGTTTGATTAAGACAATTTTTCATGCTTTTCACTTTCCAGAACTACAAATTGCTATACCGTTAACAAATACTTACTTTCTTAGTTTACCTTATTTAATTTATCCCTAGCTCGCCACACAGTATTTATGCCCTGCTAAACGTGGGTACACCCAGTACGATTGCTTATTTAAATACCTCATCAGAGGAAAAATATGTACGCTTATGTATCGGATTGACACTTTGGTAGGCAATGGTAGGCAAATGAGCCACAACTACACAATTTTGGCGACAAACAGAGCAATGGTAACATCTCCTTATAACCTATTCGAAATCGTTGATGAGAACCGATGATTTGCTATTCTATATACATCTTTTAGCCCTGATTAAAAGTCCCAATAGATCCAAACCGCTGATAACGAGACTGTGACCATCTAAAAGATCACTGAAAAATGAGAATTCCTATTAGTATGATTGTATTATTTCCAATACATTTGCCCAATGTGCACGTTACATTCAATGAGAGCTGTTTGACTCAGGACCTGTAGAACAACTTTGTCAAATGATGTATTACTCAACCACATTTAATGCTTTATATACGGTGAAAGCACTTATAACTGATGATAGCAAGAGAGGTTATGAATAATAATTATTATGAACACACAAACCGATGCAAAATACATTTGTCCTTGTTAGACTTATTTAAAAAGGTAATGAATAAACGAAATTGAGTTGCGTGTATGCGCCATGAATGGTTCACTCATATCTCGTAGCAATTAAACACTGACCATGAGAAAGACGCAAATAAAGCGACAATAACGTGAAGTTTTAAGAAAAATTGTTGTCAACTCACCGAGATGCAGCTTCTCTAACAGTCACATCATTAACAGAAATGTTGTGGCGTGGATCGTGTTGTGTAATAATGCTGCGATCATGTGATAACAAAAGACTGTCTAGAATAAAATCATAAATATAGGTAAAACAAACGTTAGTGAATGGTAGAGAGAAAAAATATACACAAGTCCGCGGTCTGGTCCTTGATTTAGAAAGGACAATGCGGTCATAGGATGATGGTACAGGTTAAATGTACGCTGCGCTCATGAGATCGGGTATCAAGTTCAAGTTTTTCGAAAAAAATGAACAGGTTATGGTAATCATCTTAGTTGATACATTTTAAAGGAATTTTACGTCTTATAATGTTTCCATTCAGTTTCGTCATGCTTGGGTGGACAACAAACACATAAAGCACTTAGTATGCATAATTACCATTTTGAGTGGCTTGCTTTAGACGTGTTGCTTTAGTTCAGTTCAATTCTATCTACTGCATGTGCTGCCATGAGGAGCTTGAGGAAACTTTGTTAAGCCGATTTTTTAACTGTCCAAGGTTGGTAGAACTGGAAAAAGTCTCCTTAGGTAGATTGCTCTACGATCTCGATAGCCTAGAGACAAAGGAGCGGTCGTATCGGCCAGTTCTATATATACGGAGTTCGACACGGTTAGGATGGGAGGCTGAAGTCATGCTGGTCTGTCTGGTAGGCACAGGGCGCGGAGGCATAATGGAGGAGGGATCTGAGGAGCAAAATCCGTTGGCATAGCGGTAGAAAGGAGATAGTTTCCCGTCGGATCTGCAATGCGTAGCGGTCCCGATACTGCCCGTCAGAGAACAGTCATCGATCAGTCGGACAGCCCTCCTCTGAACAGCTTCGAGCATGGAGCGGCAGCACTAAAAACATGAGAGAAGTACTCGAGGCTAGGTCTTATCTGGGCCTTGTTCACAGTGAGGAGGTCATGTGGAGAGAAGTACCTCTTACCCCTAGCTTTTTCCTGACAGCTGCCGCTGTCGACGAGATGTTTTCGTGCCAGGACTCCGACCAGCCAAAACAAATGGACGGTCTTTGATAGAACTCGGCCATCTATGGAAAAGGGATGGGCGCTTCTTGTTCATCAAGTTATAGTATTGTGTCTTGGCAGAATTCAACTGTACCACCTTGTTGCGTCCCCAAGCATTGATAATCTCCAGGTATCTCTCCAGAGAGGCAGCCACTCCTGGTCTTCTTTTCTCCAGCTCACCAGCAGAGATCAGCTCGTCACTATGAATTCCTGCATATAGAGTGCTGTCATCAGCGAAGCTGTAGATTGTAGTGAATGTACAAGAAAGGAGGTCGTTGAGATGTAAGGCAAGGCGCGCACTGAGGTAGTGTGGTAGTGGTGAGGTATTGGAGTGGTGAGAGGCATAGGGATGGTAAAATTTGGCGTGGCGATCGGAATAGCGGCGAAGTGGTATGAAAGTGATATAAAGCGCACTGAAGTGGCAAACAAGTCAGTTGACGTCACCGGTTTACCATGTCGTCCTCAGAAGATGAAGATGCCCTTTTATTTATGCAACTTGTTAATCTAAATGCTATAAGTCAGGAGACGAAGAAAAAACGGCATTGGGTTCATCCGCTGTGGCAAAAAAAGCCCGTTCTTGCACATGGATCATATGATAATCCTCCCGTGTATTGTCATACAGACAGAGATATGCCTCTACAAGGGCTACAAAATTAATGTTCAATTCGTGGTCGTCTCGCATGATTCACTCCAGGAAAAAGTAAACAAAAACCCACGTCGCGTCGTCGTCACCAACCGCTTGCCAGTCGAAAATTAAACTTGCTCGAGATTAGTGGCACCAGACTGACATCACGCCACCTACAAAATGCCACGCCACCGCTACTCCATTTTGATACGCGCGTCTTCATTTGTTTATATAGGCTTTAGCGATTCCACCTGCCACTTGATCACCGCGCCACTACCACGTCACTTGCTCACCATCTCAGTGCGCGCCTTGCCTAAGAGGAACTATGTCGGTGCCAAGACGCATCCCTGGAAAACATCCGCGTTGATGCCGAGCTGGAGCATATATCGAAGATAAGATCAAATGCATGTGGTCCTGACGGCATAATCTTGTGTATGCTCAAGCTTTGTATATCAGAGTTACTAAATCCATTGACACACATTATAAACTGTTGCTTAGAGAAAGGATATTTTTCTCGACGTTGGAGAGAGGCTGTAGTATGCCCTTTACCTAAGATCCCTGCTCCAACTGAGCCTGCTTATTTGAGACCTATTTGTTTACTATGCATTCCATCCAAACTGTTAGAAAAAATAGTTAATGTACAGCTAAATCAGTATTCACTAGATTAAAACATTCTGCCTAAGCACCAGTCGGGTTTTAGGGGAGGGTATAATACAACTACTCTTTTAAATCTTAATGATGAACTTATACGGTCGCTAGATAAGAGGCTTGCCACTCTACTTATATCATTGGATTTTTCAAAAGCCTTTGACACCATTGACCATTCACTTATGTGCGCAAAACTGTATCATTATGGCCTTGACCATACAGCGTTGAACTTATTTTGCAATTACTTCGTAAGCAAAGCGTTATTCTACATAACAAAACATCTGAGATAACAACAATAACATCAGGAGTTCCTCAAGGTTCTCTTTTAGGACCGTTGTTATTCATTATATATACAGCTGATATCTTGAAATCCGTACAGTACTCACACATTCAATCTTATGCTGATGACACGCAGCTTCTGTTTCATTTTGAACCATCTCTTATTTATTTATTTATTTATTTAGCTACATCCAACAGCCATAGCCAATTACAGGATGGATAAACATGAAAATATAAACAAATGCATGTAGTGGATGTATGTACAGAAAGCTAAAACGCTGCAAAAAAACCTCAAAACAGAACTGCGAGGATAAAAAGCGTTGTAGCTTTACCTTCCCAGCACTCAACAATCACACCGGCAAGCATTAACGAAAATGCGCATTAATGTCTCCCAAAGTCGCAGAAAACAAATATATCTAAAACGCTATTAACTGAATTATAATTACGGCACATTTTATAGATAGGGGAAAACTTAAGTATGTCAGTGCTAGGCCTGGCTAAGTAGAAAGTTAAACTAGTTCGAGACGCTAATATAGGAACTAAGAAGTTAAGTTGTTTTAAGATGACACTGGAGTGAATAATGCCATGGATGAGCTTGTGAGTGAACTTAAGTGAATTCTTTTAGCGTCTGCTTTCTAAATTATAGATTTTGTGTCTCAGTATCAACTCACTATGAGGAAAGCCAATAGCAGGATATATCCCGTCAGCTTTGTATGAGAGGTATTTTAAAAACTTTCTTTGACTCTAAGCCGTCAATATATATATTTGATGATGAGGATACCATACCAGGGACGCATACTCAAGCTTAGATCTTACATAGTACAGTATTTTCAGTGTAAAGGAGTTGTGGAAATCACCAGTATTTCTTACAATAAAACCATACGTCACAACAACATTTTCGATGTGATAGAAGGAAAGTTTTGCTGTCAAATGTGATTCCCAAGTCATTAATTGTATTAGGTCTGTCCAGTTTTCTGTCACCAATACTATACTCATACATCATTACCTCTGTGTTTACAGTAAACGACAAAACGTGACACTTAGCAGCATTCAAAACCAGTCTGTTTTTACGACACCAGTTGTCAACCCTTACAATGTTGCATTGCAAGCGATGACAGTTGTCAATGTTAGAGACTCTACAGAAAAGTTTCGTATCGTCAGCATATATAAGAAAATCGACATCGATAACTTCAGAAATATCATTTAAGAACATAACAAATAACAGAGGTCCCAAATTAGCTCCTTGAGGAACACCGGACATTACAGGGTATTCCCTTGACTTATGTCCATTGCACATAACATACTGTTTCCTATGAAATAAATAAGATCTGAAAAATAGCAACTATGTATCTGAAAGACCAAATCTAGATAACTTATTGAGTAGGATGTTATGATCTAAACTATCAAACGCGCTAGAGAAATCAGTATATATTACATCCGTTTGAAGTTGTCTATCGATTGATTCACAAACATATGCTGCCCTTCATGAAACCGTGTTGACTGATGGAGATAGACCTGCTTACATAGAAATATAGCACAGTTTGTATCACTATTTCGAATGTTTGTTGTGGAACAGGCAAATGATTACGAATAGTATCTGAATATCGTAAAGAACACTATTTGAAACTAAATCCTGATAAAACGAAACTTGTGCTTTTCTGTTCTGATCACAAGCGAGAAAACTTGAGCAGTGGTCGGACCCTCTTCTTGAATGAATAACAACTTTATTTTTCAACCAGCTGTAAGATACCTGGTTTGATCATAGATGACAAGTTACGTTACCAACAATACATTAAAACAATATCTCAGAGGTGTTATTTGAAACTGCGAGTACTGTATGCCAATAAGTATATTATTAACGAGGAAAAAGCTGGCTGAAAGTTTAGTGCTATCAATTGTCAGTTATGGTTTGACAGTTTTTTAACCATGCCTGGACTATTCGGCTCAAATGCGCCTGCAGAGATTGCAGAATAACTTTTGCCATTTTGTCTGTAACTTACGTAAATTTGACCACATATCTAATAGTTTCAGGCTTTTACAATGGCTTAATATCAATTCTCTGTTCAAATATTTTTACCTAACAACATTGAATCGTGTATTATATTCTAAGAATCCTGTATATTTAGCAGAAAAGCTGGTCCCTAGGTCAAGTATACATAATGTCAATATAAGTCATCAAAACCATTTCACAATGCCTAAGTATGTAACATCACTCTTTGGTAGACCTTTCTCGTATAATGCAGTGTCTCTCTTTAACATCTATAGCAGGAATATCGATATATCAAATACTAATAACATCTGTTTCAAACTGCATCTCAGACAACATCTTCTAGGAATTCAGCATAGGATCAATGATTCCTTCATATGAACTGCGTGCGCTACAGGTACAGATGAATATTTATTTCAGTTGTGTACCAATACCTACCGCTTTTAAACTAAGCTTAGAGGAATCAATGAACAGGTGCCAATCATTTGGATCATGTTTCTGTCCTAACGCGTCAAACAAATTGTTGAGATTGGAGCAATATATCAACTCCCTTTCTTGACGGAAACTGTGTATGAGGTCTTGTTGCCGTTTTCGGTAAAAAGTAATGTTAGCATCACCGTGGAGAACATTCCATCCTTTTAATCCTGACGCTAAAATTTCTGACTGGGATTTTGACAAATT